AATTCAAGTATTTTCATAAATTTTCCTCATTTCAATAATTTTCAATATCTCTACTATTCTAATAAAACTGCAAAAGAAATCAATTATTTAAAAAAAAATTTAATAAAATTATACGCAAACATTAAATTATTTTTATAAATAATAAAATAAAAATTTCACAGGAATTTAATTATTTACAAATTTTGTATAAGTTTCTTCTCAATAATTAAATTATTTTCATAAATAGTAAAACTCATTGCAAAATTTCAATCAATTATAATTTATAGTACAATTATTTTAATCGAATTCCTCGAAAATTGTAAATATTCTTAAAAATTTGATTAAAATTCGTCAAAAGAATTCAACTATTTAAAAATTTGATTAAAATTCGTCAAAAGAATTCAATTATTTAAAAATTTTTTAATAAAATTCTTTATAAGAATTGAATTTTAACCCTTAAACCGCACACTGGGTGTGCGACACCCAGGGACTTTTAAGTGTGTTCTCCAAGCTGGAATAGGATATTATCTTTTGGAAAAATTATCTTATATAGCTCAGTACATCTATTTTGAAGGAAAATAGGTTTCATAATGATTTATTTAATTTTAATAATTAAAAAACAGTTTTTTAAAACTACTGAAATTACCTTAAACCAAAAACTGGGTGTCAGACAAGCAGAAATTTTTCGCCGTCAACTTCATAAAGTTATCAAATACACAAAGACACTTGGCAGACTAATTTCTCTGACGAAACATAAAGTTAAGTACAAATTGTACTGTCCAATATCAAGACATGTTCAATTTTTACGAATTTAAACGAGATATCAGAGTAAAAAGCTTGAATATGGGTGTCGCACACCCAGGGTGCGGTTTAAGGGTTAAGAAACATTCAATTATATTCATATATAATTATATTTATCTCTCGAGCAATCGATATCTTCATGTTTTTTAACAATATTTTTAAAGTTGTTTATTTTCAAAAAGGTTTGAATTTGAAATTTTTGAAAATTTTAATTCCTATGGAAAGATAATAATTAAATATTTATTTAAAAAATAAGTTATTGATGTTTTTAAGTAATTTTGCAATTAAAGAAATTTGAAAATAATCGCAACAGAACATTTTTTATAATTAAAATTTTTTCCTTTATTTAAATAAAATTAAATAAAATTTATAACCATTTTTTCCTTTATTTTTAAAAAACTTTCAATTTTATTAAAACAATTGTAATTAAGAAATAGGAATTATGTATATTATTTCCTTATGAAAATTAAAATTTTTTTCGAAAATATTAAGAAACGGGAATATGTAATGTTTTTTCTCAAAATAAAAGAATGAGTTTGTAAATGTTATTAAGAAATAAAAATTATGCATAAAATGGGCATTTATTTCCTATTTCTCAATCATAATTTTTTAACAATTTTCTACTTTTTATAAATAAAAAGGAGAAAAATTTGCATAATTTAAATCAGTCATACGAAATTTGTAATAGAAAGAAGCATATAATTAACAAAATGAATATATTTTTCATTTGTTAGTCATAATTTTTAAAAGTTTTCTAATTTCTAATATTATATCATAAATCATTAAAAAATTCCTGCATACTTTCGATTTGTCAAACAATATTTTTTAAAGAAAAAAAAACAAAAACATACACGGAAACTAACTTCAAACTGCGGACTGAATGAATGAAATATAAAAACAGTAGTTAAAAATTTTTTTTTAATTGAACTTCGGAGAAGTTACAAATGCTTACAGAAATTCAATTATTTTCAAAAGTATTACATTCAAAGAGTTAGAAAAATTCTGCAGGGTGGCCGCTGGACCGGGAAACCGGGAAATGACAGTGAATTTTTTTGGACAGGGAAAAACCGGGAAATGACAGTGAATTTTGATCTTGACCGGGATTTTGGAATTTTTTTTTTAAAAACACACATTACTTTGTGAGAAAAAATAGAAATATTTATTTTAAGACTTAAGTATTAACTATATTTCATTAAAAAAGATTGAATGATCTTCTATAAAATCTATTTATATTTTGTCAGAGAATTTTATAAAAAGTACTATAAAAATATTCAATTTATAGAATTTATAAGAAAATTATGAATTTTGTTGTCCAACATAACAGACTTAGAAAAAGAAAATATTAAATTTAATTTTAAATTCTTTCTATTTCTAACAATAATTAAACAAAATATAAAATATAACAAAACAAATAAGAATTATTAAAAATTTGAACTAATTAGAACAAAAGTGATACGAAATTTATAAAAATTAATTTTTGAATAATAAATAAAGTAAATAAAAATAAATAAAATTTCTTTTCTTAGAAAATAAATTTTAAAAAACCGTATTTTTCATAAATATCAATTAGTTTTTTTACAATTATTCATAAGCAAATTTTTCGATTTTTTAGAATGTTAAATTAATATTACTAATATTATTATAGATTGAATTTTAAAAAATTTCAAATTGAAGTTTTAGAAAAGTTGAATTTTAAAAGATTTTAATTAAAAATTCTGAATAATTTAGTCTTTAAAAATATTTTTATTCACATTTTTTCAAATTAGTTATGTTTTTAAATATGTAATATTTAATTGAAAAATTTTCAAATTATTCAAAATTTCATGAAATTGTCTTGTAAACAAGTGGATTTTAGAAATATTTTAGTTATTTCTAGAATATAATTGAATTGAAATTTTGAAAATAATTTTTAATAAGTTACAGTAGCAATTCTTAAAAATTATTCAAATTTAAAGGATTTGAAATTTGAATTTTTTTTTGAAATTTGAGTACCTACTATATCAGGGTGTCCAGCTACCTTGAAAACCTTAAAAACCTTGAAAAGTACTTGAATTTTTTTTGCTCCTTGAAAATCTTGAAAAGTACTTGAATTTTATGACAAAACCTTGAAAAATTAAAATTCTTAAAAGTGAGATTTATTTCCTTGATGTTTTACGTTGAATTCTCGTCAATATTTCAATTATCTTCATAAATATAAAAATTCTTCGCTGAAATTCAATTATATTCAGGAACTTTAATAAAATTCATTACAAAATACAATTATTTTCATAAATAACAATATTCATCACAAGAATTCTATTATTTTAAAAATTAATTAATTTCTTCTCAGAAATTCAATTATTTTCAAAAAATCAAAAAGAACATTGTGGTCAAAATTCCAATTATCTTTATAAATAAATAATAATATTCTTCGACAAAGTTAAATTATTTTGTGGAATTTTAATAAAATTCATTGCAAAATTCAATTATTTTAATATAAATAATAGTATTCATCACAAGAAATCAAATATTTTTAAAAATTTTAATAAAAATCGTGGCAAAATTTCAAATTATTTAAAAAATTTTTGTTTGCTTCGATGGTTTTCAATATTCTATTATTTTAATAAAATTTCACGAAAGAATTTAATTATTAAACAAAAGTTTTAAAAAAACTCTACACAAACTTTCAATTATTTAAAAAAAAATTTGTTACATTAATTCAATTATTTAAAATAGAATTTGCATAATTTTTTTTCGCAAAAATCAATTGTTTCAAAATTTGGCATTAAATTCTTTGCAGTAATTTTCAATTATTGTCAAAAAATTTCAAAATATTCATTTAATAAAATGTGTTTTAAAATTTGGCATTAAATTCTTCGCAGTAATTCAATTATTTTCAAAAGTAATAAAATTCAATTATTTTCAAACATTTTAATAAACTTCATTGCAAAATTTCAATTATTTTAAAAAATTTTTGTTAATTCAATAATTTGTATATCTATTATTTTTAATAGAAATTTCCAAAAGAATTCAATTATTTAAAAATAATTTTGATTGATGTTTCTTAAATCGATGTTCTTTATATTTCTAATATTTTATCAATAAATTGTATTTATTAATTTTTTATTTATATATATTTATTTAATTTTATTTATGAGTAACTGTTGTAGGTAGAAATTATAAAATTCTTTATAAAGTCTCTCTAAATTTTAATTAGTAAAAATATTTACTAATTTGCATTAGTTACTGATTTTTTGCTTTTGAATTAGTTTATTTTTACTGATAAATTAGTGGAAATTACTATTAACTAGTAAAATTTTCTAATTCAAAAGCAAAAAGTCACTCACTAAATCAAATTAGTAATCATTTTTACTAATTTAAATTCGATTATAAATAACAAATATTTTGAAAATTAGTACCCTAAAAATGGACCTTGAAAAAAATTATTTTGGGCCTTAAAAACCTTGAAAAGTCCTTGAATTTTTTTTTAAAGAATCGCTGGACACCCTGTATATGAAAAAATAATGGATAATAATTAAATATTTATTTCAAAAAATCTATTTAAGTTCAAAATTATTTTTAGAGTAAACTAAAATATTTTTAGGGTTTGGGAAAAAGTCAAAGTTTTGTCTAAAAATCAGGAAATTCTTTCAATCTTTCATTGAATAATTTATTTTCAGAGTTATTATTTATGACCGGGAAAAATAATTTATGACCGGGAATGGACCGGGAAATGACCGTGAATTTTTTTTTACAAAAAAGTGGCCACCCTGATTCTGGTCAAAATTTCAATTATCTTTATAAATAATAAAATTATTTTGAGAAATTCAGTTATTTTCAAAAATTTTAATAAAATTCTTAGCAAAATTTTAAAAATTAAAAATTTTTGAAGATTTTAATTCCTATTTGGAAACAAACAATGATTAAAATATTTATTTTAAATAAAACTATTGATGTTTTCGAATAAAGTTTCAATTAAAGAAATTCGTAAGTAACACAACATATTTTGAGTATATCTATTATTTTTAGAGTAAATCAGAATATTCTTTCATGTCAGGGAAAATGTCAAAATTTTGTCTGAAAATCAGTGAAAAGTCATGGAAAAATTGAAATAATTTTTTGTGGCAACCCTGAAGAATAATATGCAGATAAAAAAAATGTTAATCGCTTTTTTAATATTACGTTCTAAATGATACACAAATTCTATTGTTATAATGTGCGTAATTTTTATTTCTTTTTAGGCTGTCGCATGCTCGTAATTGTATTGAAGATGCCTTCGGTATTTTATGTGCAATGTGGCAAATTTTGAACAATAAATTATGTTTCAAATTAGAAACATCGATTGCCATTGTACTTGCGACTGTGTGTCTTCACAATTTCGTCCTGAACAAAAAGTTAGAAAGGGGAGAATCTATTGAATTGAGTAGTCATAAAAATCCAGTTACGCGAAACAGTCCACAAGTTAAAAATTATTATCATGAGGGTGCAATTCCTGTTACTGGTTTGCAACAACGGGAAATACTGGCAAATTATTTTCAGTCGACTGCTGGTGCAATTGTTTAATTCGTTCACTTCTATAAAAAATCTTCGTATTTCACAAACACAATAATTATTACATGAATTCGATGAAAATTTTCAGTGACGCTGATTTATCAAATCATATCTCAGAATAATGCCCTGGATAGAAACAGTCGGAGTAATTTTGACAATGACTACGAAATTTTTTTAATCATTAATCGATCTTTAAACTAGAAGTTTAAATATTTCACGTGAATGCAAGATACGATTTGTGAGTACTTTCAGTACTTTACTTCAATAATGAAGCTGTCGTTGAAAGAATTTGTGTTTGTGGAGATTTCCCAGAATTATTGTAATTATTGTCTGTTTCTAAGCGCCAGAGAATTTTAGACCGAGTTTGGATGCAAATTTTGGAATTTGTTCATCAATGTCCGATATCCACTTACCAAACAATCGACATTAATAAACAATATCATCTTTTCGTTTGTAAAATTGGTAAGTTTCTGTATTTGAAAATCTATTTACATTAAATGTTATTTATTAGAGAACTTAATTTTTATATACGTAAACTTTTATTTTCTATATTTATTTCTCAAGTGAAATATTATTGTGTTTATTTTTTAATTTGTTCTGTATCATACAAATATGTCATAACATTTATAATTTCATTGCTTGTTTAATTATTTCAGATCCAGAAATTTTTATTGATACTCTTTCATAAAAGGACATTGTAGTAATTGAATTAATTTGAGAGAAATGACTTGATCCATCAGTATTAACATTTTGAACAATTTGCGGGATTAAGATCTGGTTTTCCTAAATTTTCTTATCATCACTAACTGATACCGACGATTCTACTGATATATTCAATTCGAGAAATTTCATGTATAAAAAAATGAACGTCAGAAGCTTAAATTCCATGGACAAAACACAGTTTATTCCTTCCATAGAAATCAACTACCGCTATGATGTGTATTAGGCGTACAATCCGCGTTCTCCAAGTAAGTTTTTTTTGCATTTCGACAAAGACTTAAATTCCAAATTTAGGCTATTTAATTTTTATCTTTGAGCTTGAATTTTGTTTCATTTAAAATATAATAAAAATTAATTTAAAACATTTTTATTTAAAAAAAATTGTAAGAAATTAAAAAGTAAGTATAAAAATAAAAGGGAACAAAGTTAAAGAAATAAAAATTATAAAACTGACAATAAGTTAAAATTGAAATAAAACATAAGAAAAAAATATTTTTTTTACCTCTCTGTAGAAAAAGTGCGTCATTTCGTACCCTCGAAACTGACTCAAAATTTCGTAATGACATAGTTGATACGTAACTATTATTATGTAGCAGTGTCAATCCAAAATTTTTAAAGTTAGGCTCTGATTGTACGATAAAAAATCTATCAGAATCACACTGAGAGAAATGGATAGTCAGATTTTGATGTTAAAAAGATGATGTTACACGATACTATCATTATGCTACTGCCCTACTGAAAAAGAACGACTGTAAATACGAGCGTAAATATGACTGTGAATACGACCCTAAATACGGGCCTTAGAAGGATAGTGTAATTGAAACAGCAAATACAGCCGTATTTATGCCCGTATTTAGGGTCGTATTTACGGTCATATATGAATACCATTTTTTAAAAAAATATATATATATACCACCACAGCACCGAAACTTTCCTAAAAATTTATTGTAATATTGTAAATACTTGTAATATTCGGCATATTTAACTGAAATGTTTAGTGAAAATTGATCTTTACACAACTTTCAATAAACATTGCAATTACATATTCCGAACATTGCAAGTAAATATTTAATAAATTTTTAGGAAAGTTTCGGTGCTGTGGGGGTATATATATAATGAAATATCATTAATTATTATAATTAAATATATTAAATATAATATTGCAACTAAAATAAATATTATTTAGGGTAAGTATTGAAATACGATTTATTCTTATAATAAATACATAACAAACAAATATATAAATGTCACTTTATTTTATTCACAAACACACATATACACATGGTACAATTATTTATTAAAAATTGTAATTTTTATTATTTTTATTATAAGAGAAAAACACTTGTACACGCACAATAAAAACACTTGTACATTTTGCAACAGCAAAATAAAATCCACAAATCATGCGAATCACATGTACGCACTGTTATAAAAAAGGTTGGGTCTGTAGGGATAGGTAGTTGCACGTAACTTGAAATATTAATACTAAATTTGGAGACGCATGAATATCCCCTAATCGCCAAGTCGTCGAATGATCAAATAGTCGAATGCCAAGTAATCGAATTGACAAAACGTCGAATGCTAAAAACATCGAATCGGCATTTAGTCGAATGCTTAAAACATCGAATTGTCAATACGTCGAATGTTCAAAACGTCGAATTATCAATTCGTCGAATGTTAAAAATATATCGAATCGTCAATATGACGAATGTTCAAAACGTCGAATTATCAATTCGTCGAATGTTAAAAACATCGAATTGTCAATACGTCGAATGTTCAAAACGTCGAATGATAAAAACGTCGAATGCTAAAAACAACGAATCGTCATTTAGTCGAATGATAAAAACATCGAATCGTCAATACTTCGAATGCTAAAAACATCGAATTCTCAATTCGTCGAATGTTCAAAACGTCGAATGTTTAAAACGTCGAATGCTAAAAACGTCGAATGTTCAAAATGTCGAATGCTCAAAACGTCGAATGATAAAAACGTCGAATGCTAAAAACTTCGAATCGTCATTTAGTCGAATGATAAAAACATCGAATCGTCAATACTTCGAATGCTAAAAACATCGAATTGTTAATTCATCGAATGCTTAAATCATCGAATTTTCCATTCGTCGAATGTTCAAAACGTCGAATGATCAAAACGTCGAATGCTAAAAACGTCGAATTCTCAAATCGTCGAATGCTCAAATAATCGAAACGCCATCTGTTCGAAATGTCAAGTAGTAGAATGGTAAAGTAGTCGAATGGTAAAGTAGTCGAAACGCCATCTGTTCGAATTGCCAAGTAGTAGAATGGTAAAGTAGTCGAATGTTCAAAACGTCGAATGATAAAAATGTCGAATGCTCAGAACATCGAACTGTTAATTCGTCGAATGCTCAAAACGTCGAATGATAAAAACGTCGAATGCTAAAAACATCGAATCGTCAAAAGTTCGAAAAAGTTCTTTGTTTTAAGTTAATGTCTACTGAAGACAAAGAACTTTTTCGAACTTTTGACGATTCGATGTTTTTAGCATTCGACGTTTTTATCATTCGACGTTTTGAGCATTCGACGAATTAACAGTTCGATGTTCTGAGCATTCGACATTTTTATCATTCGACGTTTTGAACATTCGACTACTTTACCATTTTACTACTTGGCAATTCGAACAGATGGCGTTTCGACTACTTTACCATTCGACTACTTTACCATTCTACTACTTGACATTTCGAACAGATGGCGTTTCGATTATTTGAGCATTCGACGATTTGAGAATTCGACGTTTTTAGCATTCGACGTTTTGATCATTCGACGTTTTGAACATTCGACGAATGGAAAATTCGATGATTTAAGCATTCGATGAATTAACAATTCGATGTTTTTAGCATTCGAAGTATTGACGATTCGATGTTTTTATCATTCGACTAAATGACGATTCGAAGTTTTTAGCATTCGACGTTTTTATCATTCGACGTTTTGAGCATTCGACATTTTGAACATTCGACGTTTTTAGCATTCGACGTTTTAAACATTCGACGTTTTGAACATTCGACGAATTGAGAATTCGATGTTTTTAGCATTCGATTAACTGAAGATTCGATATTTTTAGCATTCGACTACATGACGCTTCGATGTTTTTAGCATTCGACGTTTTTATCATTCAACGTTTTGAACATTCGACGTATTGACAATTCGATGTTTTTAACATTCGACGAATTGATAATTCGACGTTTTGAACATTCGTCGTATTGACGATTCGACGTTTTTAGCATTCGACGTTTTAATCATTCGACGTTTTGAACATTCGACTAAATGCCGATTCGATGTTTTTAGCATTCGACGTTTTGTCCATTCGATGTTTTTAGCATTCGATGTTTTGTCCATTCGATTACTTGGCATTCGACTATTTGATCATTCGACGACTTGGTGATTAGGGGATATGCATGCGTCTCCTAAATTTGTTTGTTTTTAAAATAGTGACGTGTAACTACCCATCCCTATAGACCCAACCTTTTTTACAACAGTGCTTACATGTGATTCGCGTCATTTGTGGTTTATCCGTTTATACTTATTGACTTGTTACTATGTAACTTAAATTTATAATTTTAGTTAACCTGAAGAGGATGACAAACCATGTCATCGAAACGTCGTTAAATAAATGAAATAACACTATTTGTTGTTATTTATCTACCTTCCATTGGATCAAATTTTCCATTTTACAAATAAATAATTCGGAAGGAAATTTTCTATTTCTAATAATATTTATTTTAGTTGCAATATTATATTTAATATATTAAATTATAATAATTAATGATATTTCATTATATATACCCCCACGGCACCGAAACTTTCCTAAAAATTTATTAAATATTTACTTGCAATGTTCGGAATATGTAATTGCAATGTTTATTGAAAGTTGTGTAAAGATCAATTTTCACTAAACATTTCAGTTAAATATGCCGAATATTACAAGTATTTACAATATTACAATAAATTTTTAGGAAAGTTTCGGTGCTGTGGTGGTATATATATATATTTTTAAAAAAAATGGTATTCATATGTGACCGTAAATACGACCCTAAATACGGGCATAAATACGGCTGTATTTGCTGTTTCAATTACACTATCCTTCTAAGGCCCGTATTTAGGGTCGTATTCACAGTCATATTTACGCTCGTATTTACAGTCGTTCTTTTTTAGTAGGGTGCCAACCATCATAGATGCTAAAAAAAATATAGTTATGCTACCCCGTACTACCAAGATGTTACTCCTGATGATATTGATGGTAACGGTGACTATCTAGACAGCTGTCTGTATACGTAGCATTAAAGATGGTCACCCTTACCACAATTATGTTACCCACTACTATAAATTTCTCTCCGTGCAGCTGTAATATTTTAGTCTACTAAATATTGTTTGTCGGTTTTTTAATTAGTATTCTTATTTTATTTAATTTTTAAAATTATCTATTTCGTATGAATATTTATAAAAATTTTAAAATATAAAGTAGAAATAATACTAATAATTCCCGGTTTTCATGGTCAGTTTTCATTAATAGTTGAAATAAAAAAAATTCTAAAAGTTTTCACAAGCAATAACATTTTTCACAAAAATTCAATTATTTATAAAAATTTAAATAAAATTCTAGACAATAATACAATTATTTTCGCATAAATAACAAAATGCTTCTCAACAATTAAATTACCTACTTTTAAAAATTTTAATAAAATTCTTCTCACAAATTCAATTAGGTATTTCTTAACAAATTGATGAATTTTTAAATTCCTTCTTTAATCCTTCACATTTACTCTATTATTTTTCCAAATCATAAAATTTTTCACGAGAATTCAACTATTTAAAAAAATTAAAGTAAATTCTTCGAAAGAATTCAATTATTTTCATAAATAATCAAATTATTAAAAAATTTAATAAAAATCACTGAAAAATTTAATTATTTTCATAAATAATCTATTTCTTAAAAATTTTATTATAAAATTCGCTGCAACAATTTAATTATTTTCACAAATAATAAAATCCTTTTAAAGAATTCAATTATTTTCAAAAATAATAAAATCCTTTTAAAGAATTCAATTATTTTCAAAGATTTTAATAAAATTCTTTTCAAGAATTTAATTCTTTCCCCAAATATTAAATTTTTTTTACGAAAATTCAATTATTTAAAAAAATCTGAAATAAAATTCTTCACAAGAATTCAATTATTTTCATAAATAACAAAATCCGAAATTCAATTATTTTCTTTTAAATTAATAAATCTTTATAAGATTTAAATTTTGAGAAACATTCAATTATTCAATATATTATTTATTGTTGTATTTAAATATTTGAATAGGGTAGAGTGGGGTAAAAAAGCCACATTTTTACTTTTGATGCTGTAAAATCTGTATTTAAAATTTTTTTCTCAAATTTCCAATTGTTATTGAAAGTTTAGTTATTAAGCTTGAAAATTCTTGACGGAAATATTTTTTATCTCATGAAAGGACTAAGTTATAAGAGTTTTACGGAAGCACTGTAAGTGGCTTTTTTGCACCACCTGGAGGGGTGAAAAAGCCACCCTATGATTTTAGCAAAACATGTTATCAATTTAGGTATTTTTATAGTTTTCCTTTATTTATATGACAAATAGTCTTATTTGAAAAATATTTTAATAATTATGAAAGAGTTTTTAGCAAGCAAAATTGAAAATTATATTGAGTTTACCTTTTTTCGATTTGCACTGCCAATTTTTCGTACCTTTTCTAGAAGTTCTCTTTAAGTTTCACCACAGATAACATATTTCGTTGCAACCGTTTATTCATTGTTTATTTTTTTAATGCACTTTGAACTACTTTTTCGTCGTATTTAATTAATTTTATTAAATAAACACGAGAAATTTTGTAAAATAAGAAGGTTAGTTTAAATAGAAAACAAGTGAATTTCACAAAATATTCAATGGATTTTTTGCCCTGGCTTTTTTACACCCAAGACCAGTTATTAGAAAAGCAAAAATAAATTGTTAATTCAGTTCAATTTCCAAAAATTAACATTGTATACGTTTTCGGTATACTTTTCTCCTTATGTACAAACATTTATTTTTATTATTCGTTCACTTAATCAGACTGTAATATGTTTGAAAAGTTCACCAAAATGTTTTCAAAAAAGCAACAAAAAATTAAAATTACAATAAAAACAATATTAATCTAGGTACAACATTCAAACTAGATTCAAAAGTTGCGTATTACCTATAATAGTATTTATATTCTAAACAGCTGACAAATCGGCTTAATAGTTTTTAAATAAAACTCAAATGGCTTTTTTACCCCATTCTACCCTATCAATTGAACTTTCTAATAAAAATTGATTAAAGTTCTCAGCAGGATTAGAATAAACATAAATATTTTTGACTGAAATCAGGAAATAATCAGGGAAATACAGAAATAAAAATAAAATAAAAATTATTTCTCTTTTTTATTGAAAATCTTTCAGTTTTGCTAAATGAGTTTACTCATTGTATAAAAAAGTATCATAGTTTTCTGATTGAATCAAAAGTAGAAAATAAATTCTTTTAATTCTATATAGATATTAAAATATTTAAAAAGTTGTTGGTTTCTTTGAAAATATATTTTTTTTACAAAATAGAAATATTATTCTACATTTAATATGGAACTTGAGAATAAAATCTCAGTCAAAATAAATAAATTAACAAATAGAATAGATTATATTTATTTATATATACAACTGGAAAATTAAGATTTAGAATTTTAAATAAATACTAATTTAGAAATAATGAATTATCAAAGATATTAAACAAAATATTACCAAAAACAACTAATTTCAAATTCCGAACAGACAGGTCGTGAAAAGTTAATTTCCGGAAAAAAGACAATCGCGATTTTGCATTAATCCTTAGCAACTTCATTGCAACGCAGTAAAACAATTGCAAAACTTTGATCTGCTTTCTTTACATAAATTAATTTTTGGTAATTTGATAACGTATAAAATTGTTTATTTACAAAATATTAAAAAATGGATAAAAATCCATACGTAAATCGTGAGTTAATAAAACTTGTCGCCTCTTATCCATGTTTGTATGATTCTGATAAATTCAGAAACAAGAAGGACGTAAAACATTTTGCTTGGAAAGCTATAATTGCCCACCTAGAAGCAAAAGGAATTAAACTGATAGGTATTTATTTCTGCATGATTTCAATGGTTTTCTTTGCATTACAATAATTATTATATATGTATAATAATTTTGTATTTTAATAATACTTTCAACTGGGGTTATCTGTGTTAAAAATTTTGAAAGAAAGTGAAAAAAACTGAAAAACCAAGATTTTGTAGTGCTATTTTATACATTTAAAATATCAAATATTTTTCAAAAATGTGTTATGTCCTTTCTTAAAAAAGACATGGAGTGGAAAGGTCGAATGTATCGAAAAGTATCGAAGTAAAGAATGGGCATTGAGAATGTAAAATCTTAATAGAAGGGTGTTTTTAAAATTGTTTGTACATGTGAAGGTGGCGCTGCAGTCGTATGTTATTTAAAAAGAGCGCGAATATATAAATTTTATTTTTGTTAATAGAAAGTACTCATAATAAATCTTATTTTGCAATGTCAAAAAAAACGTCAACATTTCAAATATAAATAAGCAAATTATTAACTGAAAATATTTGAATATTATTATTAATAAAATAATGGACTTGGATAATGGACATATAAAAACTAGCACCGTAGACGGCCGCTTGCGGCCGTCGGAGGAGCTAGTAATAAATAAGAGAGATTCAGTATATCGTTTTTATACATTTTTTTCTTAATTTTTGTCAAAAACCTATAAATAATAATTAAAACGATTAAAACTCACCAGTGCTCAACATAACCTTAAAAAATAACTTTAATTAATATTTAGAAGTTTTTCGAGTTAATTTTAAAACTATTTTTCTAGTTTATCTTAAAATGACTTGAAAAGTTTATTAGAAAATTAAATTTTTATTTATTTACCTTAAAATATTAATTTCAAGTTTTTGAAAAATGTCGTTCGAAACGTTTGAAAAAGCTTCTATTGAAATTATGTTTTAAAGTTATTTACAAGTGATTAAATTATAATTTGATAATTATAATAATATAATATGTATTTAAAAAAAGAAAGAAATGTTATTTAATATGTGGATAATATACAATGTAATCATTTATATTGTATATCAATGATATAATATATCATTTAACCCGCCTTTGTCATACACCTAGAGAGGGATCCCCTCTACGGTTTCAGTATTTTTTGAATAACTTTTGTTTTCCTCATTGCATAATAAAATCAGTTTTTATACCTTTCGATGGTTTACTCCTTAACATATTTCTAAAAAAACATTTAGCTTAAACATAATTAATATTTAATTATGAAGCTTCAAAGCTAGAAAAAAACTCTAAAAAGTGAGGTTACGTTAAATAAAAAAATCAAGTTTTCAAAACATTTTTTGTTCCACTATTGGTTAATGACAAAACGAGTGACAAAATTATATCATAAATATAATTAAAATAAATTATTCAATGATTTTTTTGCTTATTTGTTAATGTTACATTATTTTACATGTAAAGTGTAATTCCTTCGAAGATGTGCATTCGTGTAATTAATTTTTATTTTTGAGACTGAAAATTAATTTTATTAATTTTATAATTTTTATTAATTTTTATTCAATTTGACAAATTAATTAAAATAATTAGTTTTTCAATTAATAAATGTTTTGGAAAATTAAAAATTTGTTGAATTTATAAAACTTTTATCTTTAAACTGTAAATAAAGTTTGAATTCAATTATGTACAGGAATCATCAACAAGGGTATTCAACACCAAATTTGAAAATAATAAATCCTGAAAATCCATCTCCGTCAACTTCTACCGCTTTTCAGTCGAATACAATTATGAACAGGAATCATCAACAAGAGAATCTAACACCAAATTTGAAAATGATAAATTCTGAAATTCCATTTCCGTCAACTTCTTCCATTTTTCAGTTCTACAATACTAAAGGTAAAGTTATAATATACATATAATATTTGAATATAATCCAATTTATTAATTAATTTCTTTTTCACATTTTTGTCCTTTTTAATGTTCTATTTTATAGGTTACCCCCAAAAATATATGCTTATTCAAAATAAACATGTAATTAACATGTTCATTAATGTTAAAATTAGCCAAACATTACTAAAATGTTTTATTTTCCTTTGATGTTAACTTTAAAATATATAGAAAATGTATATATAATTGTTTTGCAAAATTTTTCAAATAAACTACGTTTCTTTAATTTTTTCATTTACTCCCAGTAAACAAAAACTAATTGAAATAGAATTAAAAAGAATTCACAAAGAGTTTCAGTGAATCCCGCTTTGTGACAAATACGAATTGGAGCTATGTTGCAATTTTCCTGAATTCGTCAAACTGTATTGAACTTCCAAACCTTCTATTCTTACTAATTCAATGGACAAGTTTTGGGGCCTTTAATTTTTTTTAATTCGTCAGCACGAATTCAATGCATGCCTTGGTCATTTCTTACGAATGCGAATTCGTTTGCACAACTTCAGGCAAATTGAATCGAATTCAATCGAATATACAAAGAGCTTGAATGAATCCCGCTTTCTACCAAAAATCTTAATTCATTTCAATCCGTTTGAATTAGTTTTTTTTTACTGGGCTCACATTAATAAAAATAAATATTTTTAAATGATGCAATATTTTATAAATCATAAATTTAGTCATGAAAAAAAAATTTTTAAATGTTAATTTTTAAAAATTAAAAAAAGTAATTTTAATTGTTGTAGTTGATTAACATTAAGTAAAACAGGGATAAAAATTCTCAAAAATATTTCAAAGATAAAATATGTGCAACAGTAATTCAAGTATTGCTTTCTTTTACTTATTTTACTCAATTAAATTTTTTTAAAGGTAGTCTATAGCTACTTAATGTATAAGTTTGACATTAAAATTATTAATTTCTATTTCAGAAGTATCAAATGACCTAACAAGAGAAGGCCCCTATTCTCAAATAAATGGACCTGTCGCAAAAGAAATAAGAGCAACACCGTCAGATTCGTTAACAAATTATCACATTGAAAATGTTCAAATTCAAAATTTGATCACTAAGGGTAGATTTGACTTAATGGAATTGACAACTTCAACTTTTCCAAGTCTAAATGCAAAAGGTATTTCTTTATTTGTGTATAAAATAAAACAACATTTTTTACTTCCCGAAAAATGTGCTTTCTAGGATTAGCTTACGACATAATAAATAAAATTTTTAAAAAAGTAGAAACATTTTTAATAATTTTTTAGAGTTTATTTTATAAAAAAATTAAAAATTTATATTTCATATTCTTTAAAATATTTTTTACTTGGCAGAAAAAATTGTAAAGTTAAAAATAAATAATTAGAGTAGTTGTACCAGTAAAAAAATTGACACCAGTAAAAAACAAATTGTTTACTTATCACGATGTTTCACAAATTATAACTTTTAGCACTTAAAAAAATATTTTTTAATTCCTCATTTCTTCAAACAATAGTTTATGATAAAACAATAAATTCAATATGCAAGTTATTGCTGAAAATAATTTTTCAAATTTTTGGTGGGTTATGAATATGACAAATGAACAATGTATAAACAGAAAATAAGTTACAAGTTATACACTTAAATAACATTTCTGGGTGTGTCATCAGGAAAATATAGATTGTTGAGAATATTTGTAACCATTTTCATTTAACCTTTTTTATTTTTAGGCACTGTGTTAATATAAATTTGCCATGTTCTTTCCGATGAAAATACAACTGTTTTACTGGTCAATGTTCTTTCACTGGTAAAATATTACCTTACGTCTCATCAGAAATTCAAAATTTGTAGGCTCTAGACAATTTTTAATATTAAATTGTAAAAAAATCCCATTGTGCCGCGTGCTTGCGACCTGCACAGGCAGCTTAATTATTTTTTTGAACCCATCAAACTTGTCAGGCCCACTCTGAAACTTTTTGCAAAACCTTCTTATCATTTCCAGGTATGTTTTGAAAAAAGAAAATTAAAAATTTATCATATCCAAAGTTAAAAAAAATTAATTTGTTTATAAAATTTTTTATTTTTTTAATAAAAGATAAATAAATGAAATAAATAAAAATTAAACATAAAATAAATTCCTATTTGGAAAATACGAACGTAAATCTAAGTAAAATCTACTACATCTCTCCAATTTATTTTCAATTCTATTAACATTTTTTTTCTGAAAAATTTTTTTTATTAATTTTATATAAATTTTTTCTATAGGAGACAGCATGCGATCTTTTGGCGAAGAAATATATGAACCAGAACCAATCGATACGTTCGAGGAAGAGGTGCTTGCAACTGATACAATTGATTTGACAAGGAATACCTCTTTTCAAAGTGATTCCGAAGCAGTACCCAGTAAAAAAAAACTAATTCAAATGAATTGAAACGAATTAACATTTTTGGTAGGCTCCAATTCGTATTTGTCACAAAGCGGGATTCACTCAAGCTCTTTGTATATTCAATTGAATTTAATTTAATATGTACCAATTTGTCCAAACGAATTCGCATTCGAAAGAAATGGCCAAGGAATGCATTGAATTCGTGCTAACGAATTGAAAAAAATTAAAGGCTCAAAACTTGTCCAGTGAATTGGTACGGATAGAAGGTTCGGAAGTTCAATACAGTTTCACGAATTCAGGAAAATTGCATCATGGCTCCAATTCGTATTTGTCACAAAGCGGGATTCACGAAAGCTCTTTGTGAATTCTTTTTAATTCATTTCAATTAGTTTTCGTTTACTGGGTAGCCACCAGTTTTGGTAACATTAACAGAGCAGATCATATTTACTCTATGTACAGCGAAAAAGAGTATAACAATGTTTTAGAATTTCAACCAAGAACCAGCTCCGAATCAACAGTCACTGCAAGGAAAACCGAATTCGATAACACTCAAAGTATTGCGAAAAAAGAGTATGTTTACTCAGGGCCCAGTGAAAAACAGAATTCCAATGTTTTAGAATCCCGACCAACGACCTGCTCTAAACAAACAGATTATTCTTTTAACGCTTTCTCGAATTTCTCAGAAAATAAGAATAATAATCGAACTAATATACAACAAGGTAGCCAATTATCAAACGTCAAAACAAAACTTACAACAAATTCTGACAAGAGCAATAATTTGTCATCAGCTAATAATGAAAATGCTTCTAAATCTCAACCATCAACCTGTTCTCTACAAACAGATTATTCTTTCAACGCTTTCTCGAATTTCTCAGAAAATAATAATAATAATCGAACTAATATACAACAAGGTAGTCAATTATCAAACGTCAAAACAAAACTTACAACTAATTCTGGCAAGAGCAATAATTTGTCTTTAGATAAGAATAAAAATGCTTCTAACAACATTACTTCGAAAAACGATTTCGTTGCACAGAAAAGGAAAAATCCACACATTCTCCCAAAAATGGATGAATTCGCAGCAAAAAAATTAAAACAACAAAAAAATAAAACGGAAGTTATAGAAAATGAAATAATCGAATGTTGCAAAGACTTTAAAAACATCAACGAGAGTGCAAAGGAATTAATTAAATTGCAGACCTCAGAAATAAAGCAGCGATTTGAAAGAGAAAAAAATAAATCGAAACCTGTACATAGAGTTGAACATATTTTTTGTGAAGATGGTTTTCTCAACTTGATAAGAAAATCTTGGTTGACTCTGAACGACCAAGAACAGGAAGATATATTTATGGACGTGTTAAGTGCAATTGAAGAAGTTGAACGAAATAATTAAATGTACTTAATTTTTACACAAAGATTGTGGATGTTTTTTTTCATTATTTTTTGTTTAAATAACCATTTCTTATTTAATAATCGTTAATATTATTAATAATCGACAATAATTTAATAATTGTTCTTTCAAAGAAAATTGACAATTTTTGTTCTGTTTTATAAATTTATAATTTATTTTAGTTCACTATAGATGAATCTTACTTAATAAAATTAAAATGAGAATTCATAATTAAAACTGTATTTATTACTTCAAAAATCATTCCATTTAAAAGCGACCCTCCTTATAAACAATTGTCAGGCCTCGGATATCATGACTTTTTCGACTATTTTCAAATAATGCGATTTTTAACGACTTATATTAAAAAATTACGACTTTTCTTCCAAATTTTGCAACAAAATACCACATTTTTAGTATAAAATGCAACTTATTTCGATTTTTCTGGCGTGAAAAGTATAACTATAGACAACTCTTTGAAATGTTATTTTTGAATAATTTTTCTAATTAAATTTTTGAAATATACAATAAAAAATATTTGGAATAATTGAAATTTTGTAAAATTTAATTGAAAATAAATCATTTTTTTCAAGTACATACTTTATTACAATTTTTGAAAATTAAGTTTTAAAGAATTTTAATTGAAAATTTTGGAAATAATTGAATTCTCAAAAATTTTAATGGAAAAATCTCCAAGTTTAAATTTAATAAAAAGGAAAATTAGATAATGAAAATAATATTAAAATATTTTTGAATAAACTAATTCTCAGAATTTTTCATTCTAATTTTTTAAAATTCAATTATTTTCAATATTTTTGATAAAATATTTTCGAACATTCAAATATATAAAAAAAATTATACATTAGAATTATTTTAAACATTTTGGAGAAAAGAATCATGTTCAAAATTTTTAATTAAAATCCTTCAAAAAAAATTTTTTTTTTAAAATTATATATCAGAAGTTATTTAAGTTTTAATTAATTGAATTTAGACATCAATGAAGAATCAGGGAAATACAAAAAAAAATTTCTGTGTCAATAATGAATTAAATAAACGACTTTTTCGACTTTTTTCTCCACGAGAAAAGGGACCTTATTTACTCTTGTCATAAGGTCCCTTTTCTCGTGGAGCGTCACGTATATATATATATATATAGAATTGTTCCTTAGCAACGACGTTGTTTTGTTTTTTTCTACCATTTGTAGTAATTTTAGTTTTCACAGTTCTCGAAATTTCTTAAAATGAATAAATTGGAGGAAATTGATAAACGAGAAGTATTAATAAATTTAACTTCCCAGTAAAAAAAAAAGTATTCAGAATAGAGAAAAAGTATTGGTGGAGACGTTCGGTGAATGCGTTTTCGCGACAAAACCGTATTGGTGGGTCACGGTGAATACATTTCGCTTACCGTGAATACTTTTTTTAAAAACTTTCGATTTAAAGATTCCTAAGCAAAGTTGAGAATATTTATAAAGAGCGTAAGTGACCTGAAGTATAAAAATGACTATTGCGAGAAGGAAATAAGAAATTTAAAAAAAAACGAAAAATTAAATGTGACAAACAGATTGTCAAATGTTGATCAATTACCATATGCTTTTCTGTGCCTACAACGTATGATGATTAAAAGGAACTTTGACGTTACCGGCGGAACTTACTGTTTCACATACATTTACTTGGATTTCTCAAGTTTCTGTCGGTATCGTCAATGTTCCTTTTCATCATCATACGTTGTAGGTTTGTCACATTTAATTTTTCGTTTTTTCTCAAAATTTCTTATTTCCTTCTCGCAATCGTCATTTTTATACTTCAGATCACTTACGCTCTTTATAAATATTCTCAACTTTGCTTAGGAATCTTTAAATCGAGAGTTTAAAAAAAAAGTATTCACGGTAAGCGAAATGTATTCACCGTGACCCACCAATACGGTTTTGTCGCGAAAACGCATTCACCGAACGTCTCCACCAATACTTTTTCTCTATTCTGAATACTTTTTTTTTTACTGGGTTCTAAATATTCCTATTTATATGTAGAGAACATAATGAGTACAAAAATGCGACAAAAAAGAGGCAAACATGCCAAGAAATTGCTTCTGAAATGTTTGTCATAACCAACAAAGAATCGGAAGGTATTTATATATTTAATTCTTTTTAATATTAAAATGTTTTATTGATACAGGCATAGAGTTATTAGAATAGAGTGCGCGAGTTATACCTTTTACCGTGAGAGGCATTCTTAGGCGCATAGAAAGAGACAAAAGCATGAAAGTAGACCCCTTTTCTTACCTTGTTTATTGGCGCATGTGCAAGAATGAAAGTTTTTGGTTAGGTTTTTGTCTAAAAGATCGCATGAAAAATTGTTTTAAATATTATAAATGTTTTATTTTAATTTTAAATTTATTTTAAATTATTTATTTGTCATGTAAATAAAAGAAAAATATAATTGCAAGCAAGCAACAGTTGTTTCGATGCATCAGCTGTTTCACTATCGCGCATGCGTTATTAGAGAAAGAAAGGAAAGGGGTCTTCTTTTCGTATGGCTGTCTCCGTCTATGCGCCTAAGAAACATTTTGGTCGCTTGCGCACTCTATTCTAAACTCTATGGATACAGGCTTCGCACTCATCTACTAAAACCTACTATTTACTACTTTTTTACGATTAGCTTATATTTGGATGCTTTTTTTTCAATTTTTGATACTAAAAGCTACTTTTCCCTATTTTTGAGAATTTTCACGAGGTAAAATTCGCTAATAGTTGGAATAAAAAAAAAATTCTTCAAAATTTTAGTAAAATTCTTCTTAGATACAGTTAGAAATTTTTTTAAAAAATTCTTTAAAGCAATTCAATTATTTTAAAAAATTTTTGGAAAAATCTTTTACAGGGTTTTATTTACAGTTATTTTCGCAAATAATGAAATTAAAATATTTTCAATATCTATTATTTTATTTATTTAGATATATATTCATAAGCACAATTTAAAATTAATTCCTTGAAGAATGTAAGTATTTTTCAAAGTTTTATTAATATTCTTCCAAAAAAATGAATTATTTTCAAAAATTTTAATAAAATTCTTTTTTAGTATTCAATTTTAAGAAACAATTAGTTATTCTATCGATTATTTATTTTTGTATTTAAATAATTGAAATACGTAGAATTATTTTTCAATAAGAATGAATTTAAAAATAAATTGCAGTTAAAATTTTAAATTATAATTAATTGAATATAGGTTACGCACTCATCTATTAAAACCTACTACATATTTACTACTTTTCTTACTTTGTACTACTACTTGGGTACTTTTTTTAGATTGCTACCACTAAAAGCTATACTATTTTTTTTAGAATTTCCACTACTTTCTATTCGCTATTACTAGAAATATAAAAACTGTTCTCAAAAATTATAATTAAATTCTTTAAAACGATTTAATTATTTTCAAAAAAATATTCCAAATTCAATTATTTAAAATTATTAAAAATTAATTTAAAATGATAAAATTTAATTATTTTCATAAATAATAAAACTCGTCGAAGAATTTCAATTATTTTTGAAACTATATTTTCAATTAATTAATCAAAAAATTCAATTATTTTCACAAATAAAGTTTTCCACAAGACTTCAATTATTTAAAATAAAATTTCCAGAATATTTATTATATATATAAGGGAAGTGTTCCGGTTGTGGGCACCCTTTTGTTTTTGCCTCATAACATTTGTCCATGTGCATATTATTCAAATATATGTGTACGAATTTAAAGCTAGAGGTCTAAGGTGACTGTCAGTGAAGGAATTAAATTGATTCCTTTAAATAAAAAAGTTTTATTAGAAATTTAGTGAAATGGGAATTTTTTGACAAAAAAAATTTTGTACCCGGTTGTGGGCACCCTTGAAAAATCCGCTAAAAATGGAAAAATATTAAAGGAAACCAACACAAATAAAGAAGAAATGAAAGTTTCTTTATTTTAAGAGAATTTGCCGGGATAAAGAACAAAAATGATGACACGTTTTCACACTATGCTCATCGCTAACAAAAGCATAATGCTTGCATGTGAAGTAGCTAGTACGCATACCATAACGCACTTCTAATGCATTGAACGACTATATTCATCGCATTTAATGGAGTTTGCGGCTGTCACTTTCCTTGGCAGAAAGTTTAGATAGATGAGACAGTAGTCCTCATCATTGTCAGATGGTAGAGCCTCCTTAACATAAAGGTGCCCACAACCGGGAATGACAGTCATTTTTTAAAAAGACCAACACATTTTGTGATGCAGGATTTTGGTTAAACACGAAGGTAAATCACAAAATATAATGACAACACTGCAAAAAAAAATTAAACCCTTTTTTTCTGAACGAATCTACACCCATATGTTGCTCTTCGAAAACAATACAAAATTACTTTTTTATTTATTTAATGCAAATTTTCTTTATTATGCTCACAGCTATTACACAAATGCATATATTTGTTTCGTTATCAATACGAAAAGTCCGTATTGTCAACGAACACGACTTGCAATACTTAGTTCAGTAAAGTCTGCTTGCCGTCGAAGTTTACGTAGGGGTGCCCACAACCGGAGGGTGCCCACAACCGGCGCACTTCCCCTATATCGAAAAAATTAATTATTTAAAGCAATGTTTATAAAATTCTCATAACAAAATCCAATTTTATTTTTAAAAATAACAAAACTGTTCACAGAAAATCAATTCTTTTCAAACATTTTAATAAAATTTTTCGCAATAATTCAATTATTTGAAAACAATTTAATAAAATTCTACCTAAGAATTCAATTATTTACATAAATATAATTCTTCAAAAGAATTAAATTATGTCGATGAATAACAAAATTATTCACGAAAATTCGATTTTTTTGAGGCATTTTAATAAAATTCTTTGCAAAATTCAATTATTTTCATAAATAACAATATTCATAACAAGAATTCAATTACTTTTAAAAGTAATAAATTTCTTCTTGGAAATTTAATTATTTTTAAAAATTTTAATAAAATCGTTCACAAGAATTCAATGTTTTTCATAAATAATAAAATGCTTCTTAGGAATTCAATTATTTTCAAAAAAGTTTAATCAAATTTGCAAAAATTTAGTTATTTTTAATATAATTTCTCAAAAGATTTAAATTATTTTTAAAACTAATTACATTTTTTTAAATTATAATTATAATTGTTTCAAAATTTTTAACGAAATTCTTAGAAAGAATTCAATTATATCGATAAATAACAAAATTATTCCCGTAAATTCAATTATTTTTTGGAATTTTATTGTTTTTTCAACATTTTGATTAAAAAAAATACTTTTTATTTTCTGTTAAAATTTCACGAATTCTGACCCATAAATAAGTATTTATACACTTATTTTTATGAATCGTATATTTTTAAAATAAATTTTTCATAAATTACTTTAAAACTGTTTTTCACAGTAAGGCAACTAAAGGATTTGTGGAAAACTCTAAAAAGTTCTTATTATGCCGAACGAGCAAAAATAAATAAATATAAACCGTCCGGCTCGGAAGCCTCTGAAGAACCACGTTCAAGTTGGCCATATTTTAAAATAATGGATAATGTTTTAAAAAATTATCCATTACACAATCAGTAAGTTCATACAATATATTAAGAATTAAATTACGTAAAAATAAAGATTTAAAATTATCAGACTTTTTATTTGAAAAGAATTTTTTAAATTTAAATCTAATTTTTTTTATTTACATAAAACTTTTAAAATTTTTGTTTTTAAATAGTTTTCCGGAATATGTACTAACCGGGATATTCGAGATAACCGGGGAAAAAATTTGAATATCCTATGTTTGACTTTATAAATAAAATTGTTACTTTAAAACAATATTAAATTTTTTATCACTTATAAATAACTTTAGATTATTCAAAAATATATGTCAGAGAATTTTGAAAATGAAATTTTGTCGCCACTCTAAAAAGTTATTGGTTTGAATAAAATTTATTTGATTCAATTAAGATTCCTTTTATTCAAGTACCTACATATTTATTTAATATTTCAGTATTTTTAAAGTCATCAACATTTAAAATTGATTTAGACCTCTTGTTTATGTTAGAAAAAAGTTCTAATTTTTAAAAAGAAATTTTTACTTTTACAATACAGAATTTTTTGAACTTCGGTAACACTTTTATATACTTTTCAAATTTATTTTAAACTTCTGACAAAAAATTATTTTTTGATAATCTTTTGAAAATTTCAAAATTATTTTTATCAACAAATCATATTGTTCGATTAATATCATAAGTATTTTTTTCTTCTTCTTTCATTAAAGTATTAAAATAAAGTATAACAATTTTTTATGATATAAAATTTCATTATATATATATATATATATATATATATATATATATATATATATATATATATATATATATATATATATATATATATTTCATTATATTTAATTTTTTTATTATAATAATGTTTTACTCGTATCTGCATATACTATTATTTTGACTGGGTTTTATTTATTGTTTTACAGAACTGTGAGCAATTTTAAATTTTCCAAAGTGACTCCACTTCCTACTGCGTCGGACAGTGAAAATGAAGCTGAGGACCAAGTTGTAGTTTTGAGTGATTCAGAAAAAAGTAAGTGCAGAAAAAAGCATATATTCTGTTGAAAATAATTTTTAGTACACCAAATTAATGTATTTGTCCAACACCTGCAGTGGAATTGAACTGTCACCTATTAACTTGCTAACTATTTAACTTACAAATAAACTCATTTACAAACTAACTTACTCACTAACTTATAACTATCCTATTAACTTACAAACTAACTCTCTAATTTACTAACTAATTAACTTACAAACTAACAAACTTACCAACAAACTAATTTACGAACTAACTTACAAACTAACTGTCTAATTTACAAACTAACTAACTAACTAACTAATTTACGAACTAACTTAATCACGAACTTACTATCCTATTAACTTACAAACTAACTAACTTATGAACTTACTGTTCTCCCTGCAAATTATCGTGTACAATTCGTGGAGCTCGCGATAAATCGCCCTTCTTCACTCGTTGCACAATATATACTATTATAAATTTACATTTTTTACAGGTGAAGAAGAAACCACTCATGATTATTTTCCTTCTGAAATGAATTCTCAGGCAGAAAAAATACAGAGGGAAAACGACTTTTTTCTAGCCATAAGGGATTGTTGGAGAAGAATTCCTGAAATAAAGAGGAAAGATGGCTACATCAAAATCAAAGCCATTATTGATCAAAAAATAAGAAAACGAGATTAAAATCTTTTCTTTAATTCTTCATTTTTAATTTAATTTAATATTTCATTGAATTTTTTGTCATTAAAATTACATTAAAATTACTTTCCCTGACAAAATTCTTTTTACAGGAAAATATGAATGTTTACGGAAAATGAATAAAATTTAGGAATTTTAATAATTTCTAAAAATTACAATTATGTAACTCTTCCTGTTCAACTAAACTTCATCCCTGAATCAAATAATTTAAATCATTTTCCAAAATTTTTTTTTAGAATTCAATTATTTAAATATCTACTAAAACTAAATTTTTTATAATAATTGTAACTCTCCATAGGTTTTTCTAAAATTATTAAGGTATACTATATTCAAAAATTTATAAAGAAACTCTTTCATTTAATGTTTTAAAAATATTTTAAAACAATTTTTTAATGGTAATAGTTTTTTAATTTTGATAAATTTCTAAACAATAAAAATTTGGTAAAATATTTTTAAAATAATTGAATTTTTGGAAAGTATAAATAAAAATGATCAAATTTTTGAAGAATTTTAATTAATTATAAACAGGACCATGATTTCTCTAAAATTTTAATAAGTTCAAAAAGTAAATTTCCATAAATTTTTATTTACTTTGTTCGAAGATAATTGAATGTTAAAAGTTATTATAAAACAATTCTAATAATTAGTTTTTAAAAATATTTTAATGTAATTTTTCGAAAATAATTGAATTTCTTAAAAGAATTTTTGAATAATTTAAAAAAACTAAATAATTTTTTGATGAATTTTTATTAAAAATTTTGAACATGATCGTTTTCTCCAAAATGCTAAAAATAATTATAAAATGTTATTCTTTCTGTATGTACTTGAATTTTTATAAATATGTAATTGAAATTCGAAGCTAATTTTTATTTATTTTCATTTTTAAATTTAAAGATTTTTCATTAAAATTTTTGATAATTCAATTATTTTTAAAATTTGCCAAAAAAATTCTTCAAAGTTGATTTTCAAAAATTGTGACGAAATACTTGAAACAAATTTACTATATTCAATTAAATTTTACAAAATTCCAACTATTACATTTTTGAAAGATTTGTCTATTATAAAAATCAAAATAAGTTGCACTTTTTTACTAAAAATTATGGTACTTCGTTGCAATGTTTGGAAGAAAAGTCACAATTTTTGGAAATAAGCTGTAAAAAGACTCAATTTTCTTAATTATCCTGACAACAAATTTTTTACTACCATTTTCCTGACTTTACTGACATGTGGCTACCCACAAACTTGTTTATGTTGTTTACATTACTAATTACTGGAACAGCGGAATGTGGAACACGTCAAAATACAAAATCTCCAAATTGTTGAGAACCACTGGCGTGACCGCGTTCATTCGAGTCGCAGACAAAAAGTCAACGACAAATCAAACTCATTCTGGACTCACCTTAAAGGCGCTTGCACACTTCCAAAATTTTGGGCGAGCAGCGAATTTTCATGGCCTTGAAACTCATATTACTAAATATGATTGGCTCTACAAAAAGCTGCGTGAAAATGTACTTTGTCAGAGCCAATCATATTTAGTAATGTGCATTTCAAGGCCGTGAAAATTCGCTGCTCGCCTAAAAATTTGGAAGTGTGCAAGCGCCTTTATATTGAATTTGTATATTAAAAACAATTTGTATTAAATGCAGATAAATTCAAACTATAATTATAATTTCGTAGGACAAAAACCTGACCAAAACTAGATTAATTCCGGATTTAATAATTTCACATTTCCAAGTTGCGTATTATCAGACTAACTTCGGACTAATTCCGGATTTACTGGTTATACACAAACCGCATTAAGCTTGAATTTATGAGCGACAAAACCCTGTCCATAAGCAGACTGTTTCGGATTAGCTGCGGATTCACTGGTTAAACGGCACGTGAAACAATCTGAGTGGGAGGTTTGACGTCGAGGTATAATGATGTGCACCGTCGATTATTGTCCGGTACACACCATTAGAACTCGACTGTCGATAAACCGGTTGTACTCAGGAGTGGTTTTCTACACTTTCCCTCTCCACTGGCGAGAAAACCCATTAGACGGGTGGTCCAGGCAAATGCGAGTACTCCTAATTTTCAAGTCGCTCTGTAGGCGCAAAATTTAGTATTAAGTTTGTTAGGGAAAAATTTGTAAGAGAAATTTACGAAAATGTAAAAACACTTGTATAGCCAAGTATGTAAGGCTGAAGACAGGTGTATAAACAAATAAACCAAAAAAAAAACGGTATTGATTTCAAACTTAATTCATGGTAAAAAAAACTCCACAATAAACCTTACTGTTGCGGACAAATTCCTGTCCGAAATCGGTCCGACTTTTTATTCAGGGTATTTACTTATGGTAAATAAAATATTTAATTCTGCAGTCAATTTGTTTTTACAAATTTACTAGTATTATTAGTTATCTTGTTTCAATATTAAAATTAACACTGATGTGTTAGTTTCTTGTAATTTCTTTTCGTGGCACTTCATAAATTCTATTATGAATTTGAACTTCCATGCGAGCGTGGTATATCGGGCTTTGTGAAATATATATATGTCGTAGGCAACTAGAAGAATCCGGCATTAAGCTTAATTCCTAGGCAATAAGCTTACTGCCGGCAATTAGACGAATACACGACGAAATCGTTCAGATTTGACTATTTGCCTAGGCAGTAAGCTTAATGCCCGGTAGTAAGCTTATTGCCCGATGAAGATTCGGCAATTAGACGAATCACATTAGAATCCATTTGCAGTGCACAAACGTCCTATAATAAAAAATTAATTAAAAACAATAATAATAAATCATTCTGGACAGAATTAAATATTTCATCTTGGGTAAAAAACATATTTCTTGAGTCTAATAAACATTTCTTGGATCAATTAAATAATTCTGGACAGAATTAAATATTTCTTGAGTAAAAAAAATATCTCCTGAGTCAAATAAATAATTTTTTTACTTTTGCATAAAGAAAAATATTTCTCGACTAAAATAAATTTTGTTCAAGTCTATCAAACAATTTTTGACTAAAATATTCCTTTAGTGAAATAAATATTTATTGAGTCAAATAGAGATTGTTTGATTTAAATAAATATTTCTTGACTCAAATAAATGCTTCTTGACTCTTATAAATATTTGTTATCATTGAGAAATATTTCTTGAGTCTAATAAATATTTTTTGACTCAAAAAGAAATAATTCTTGGATGAAAAAAAATATTTCTTAGGAAAATATAAATTATTTATTTGACTCAGGAAATATTTTTTTTACTCAAAAAATATTTAATTCTGTCCAGAATTATTTAATTGATCCAAGAAATGTTTATTAGACTCAAGAAATATTTTTTTTACCCAAGAAATATTTAATTCTGTCCAGAATGATTTATTTCAGTTAAGAAATGTTTATTTGACTCAAGCAATATTTATTTTAGTCGAGAATTATTTATATGAGTCAAGGAATATTATTATCATTATTATTATTATTATCATTATTATTGTTTTTAATTAATTTTTTATAGGACGTTTGTGCACTGCAAATGGATTCTAATGTGATTCGTCTAATTGCCGAATCTTCATCGGGCAATAAGCTTACTGCCGGGCATTAAGCTTACTGCCTAGGCAAATAGACAAATCTGAACGATTTTGTCGTGTATTCGTCTAATTGCCGGCAGTAAGCTTATTGCCTAGGAATTAAGCTTAATGCCGGATTCTTCTAGTTGCCTACGACATATAATTATACTAAATTGTTGTTAGCAGCGCAATTCGCCGACCTGCTACGCACCGAGGTGTTTGTTCTGAGGTCTTGACCACACTGAATTTCGACACTCACTTTACTATTCAAAATTCATAACTTGTTCCCCTCACACACACATTCCCTTATCGCTCCTGTTGACACGACGAATACACACTTTACGAACTTTTATAAAAATCTAAAATTTTGGGAAAATAAGACTTTTTTGATAATTTTGTTGAAAAATATAACAGTAACTTTAAAAATATCGTTACCAACTTGTAGAGCATTAAAAAACGCTTCGATTGACCTATTTTTCAACCTAATTTGCTTATAAATTTCAAAATTATTGGTATTTTAAAAACCAAAAATTGTGGAAAATGCCATTTTCTCAACTTTTTTGTTTAAAAAACCACAGATTTTTCTCTCATTTCCTTCACACTTTTTTTCTAAGATTTATCTGAGCTCCCATAAGAGCCTATGTTAAATTGCAAATTTATTTTATTTTTTAAAAAAAAAACTACGTGGTAAAAAATTCTGAAAAAAATCATGTTTCTAAAATAATATAAACTGTCAAATTTTTATAATTTTCTCTCATTTCCTTATATTGCCGGTGACAATCCTTAAAAAGAAATAAAATAAAAACAAAAAATATTATTTATATGCAAAAATCAAAACAAATATTTTATAATTATATTAATTAAAACTAATTATTAAATGTGAATGATATTATAAAAGATAAATTACATTGTTTGAATTTTAATCTGCGCCTGCGGGATTGGCAACCACTTCGACACATGTGCATCAACAATGGCCGGTGACAGTTACAAATCACAACAGTGCTAACCTTATAACCAAAACCTACTCCGTCTTTTATATTAGAAATATTTAATTTATAGTTGAATTTAATAATAATTTAAGATAGTTGATTAATTTTAGTGTCTCGTATTTCAATTTATTGCAGTAAACATGGATCCTGCACTTATCAGAGAAAGGGAATTGTTTAAAAAGAAAGCGCTAACCACTCCAACGTAAGTATACCCCATAAATTTAAGATTTTATAGAAAATACTGCAATTATAATGAGAATATACCATTAGATTGTGATTAATTAATAGCACTAACGAATATTATTAAGAATTTTTCGATTTTTAACTTCAGATGAAAAACATGTTTTTAGTCTATAACCTAAAAAGTAACATAACCTAAAAACAAACAAAATATATGCGTAATTTTTTTCTTTTTTGTCAATATTTTACTTGATTTGCACAAATAAAATATCTTTCACTTATTAATTAAATAATTAACATAACTTTACATCTTTATTGAAATACTATTTTACTATAAATAATCATATTTGATGAAATTTCATTTTTTTATTGTATATATTGCTAAGCTTTTTTGTAAATAGAAACTTTTTATCTCTTAAATTTTTAATAGATTTTCCATAGTTTTATCGTTCTTTCTCTTTGAGGTATTGAATTATTTTTATTTTAATACTTTCAGTATTGAAAAGAAGAAAAAAGAAACCGTGAAAGATCCACGTGATGAAATCAAAAAGAAACCGAAACCCTCGACGGTGTCATCGACACCAAAACTCAATGTGGTCAATTATAAATCGATGAGTGGTAGTTCGCAATATAAATTTGGAGTTTTAGCAAAAATTGTAAAACACATGAAAACGAGGCATCAAGAGGGCGATGATCATCCTCTATCTTTAGATGAAATTCTGGATGAAACGAATCAATTAGATGTTTCTCCAAAGGTTTGCCTTTTTTTAAATATACCTAATTTTATAAATTTAGTTAATTACATAATTCCAATAAATGAAATTATATAATTTAATTAATTAATTCCAATAAATAGAATTCATAAAATAAAAATTCCACGAACTTATAAATTACTTGTAATTCCATCGAATTAAAAATTAAAAAAGAATCTTTTCTGAAATTCGATATAAAATTTTACGTTTCAGGTCAAATTTTGGCTCCAGTCCGAAGCATTACTTCAAAATCCAAAGATAGAAGTTACACATGATACTAAATTTCTCTTTAAAGCCATGTATAAAATTAAAGACAAAAAATCCCTTCTGAGATTATTAAAACAACATGATTTGAAAGGCTATGGTGGAATTTATTTGGAAGATATTCAGGAAAGTTTACCTCACTGTGAAAAACATTTAAAGGTATTTAAATTCAATAATTAAAAAATAATCAAGTTCAGAATATAATTTCTTCTCCCTTTTTTATTTCTTGACTATTTGATATTCCTATCAAATTTATTTTATTCTTGTTCTCTTTTTTCTTCACCTAAACTCAAAAAATTTTTCTTCTATTCTCCCCATTTATTTTATCATTCATGAAAATCTATTCTGAACAATTTATTAAGTAATTAAATTTAAATTCCTCTTTAAACTCTCATTAGAGTCTACAAAATGAAATAATAATCATAAATCGACCAGACAAGAAAAAAGTTATATTCTATAATGATAAAACGGCGCAAGTTTTATTTGATGAAATTTGGCTGAATCTTTGGCGTTCTTCGGCAGTCGATGCAATGGATGATCAAAAAATAGAGGAAAATCTCGAGAAACAGGGAATTAAATCAATGCAGCATCATGGTGTTAAAAAACTCTTGCCAATGAAGAGAAAGAAACCAAATATGAAAAGGAAACAACTCAAAAAACCAAGAGACAACGAACATTTGGCTGATGTGCTGCAAAATTACGATGAAGCTAAATGAAACAAATATTATGAACATTTTTATGGTCATAAATTTTTGCGTGTCGATAAAGAAAACTGCACCGAAACAGTTTTTGACTCTTGTAAATATGTAGGAGAACAATTCTTTATTTTTTTTGTATAAAAAAATTCCAAAGAGGAGTTTAATTTACGAAAATTCATGATTACATGAATGTGAAATAGTAAGGATTGTGCATTTGTTTAAAGTTGCCATTTTCAAGGTGAGAATTTCGATATTAAATAAATCACAAATTGAAAATTTCTCTTTACTGGTTTACTTAATAATAAATTGAGTAAATTAGAAATTAAGATTAAAAATGATTAAAAGGTTTTCAAAATCTTAAATTAAAAATTGTTTATTCTAAACTTTATTTCAATATATAAAGTATAGTTCTTAAACTAAAATTATTCTTTATCCTATTTGTTAAATTATTTTTCATTCAACAATTTTTCAATAATCGGAACGTACGATATGAATTTTATTTATCTTACAATATCTTTGGCACTTATGGTTACTTTTTTCACATCTAGTCATTAGAGAACATTGTTTTTATTTAAAAAATATTCAGATTTCATTTTCTCGAAATCAATTCCTCAAAATATTCTTTTGATTTTGTTACTTTCGTTTTCGATAAAATTAATTTGAATTTTCATTTATTGAAATTAATCCTTGGGCAGTGAAGAATCACTTTTGCCTCTTGAATAGGTCTTTGTGGGTTTGCTTCCAAGCATTCTATCGAGTAAAGATTGTTTATTTCTTCTTCTTGCAGCCAAAACTTCGCGACATAATTCGTGAAATGATTCGGCAACTTGTACAACCTGGAAAATAAATTCTTCTTTTATTAAAGAAAATAATTTTAGCTAATTTTTTTTTCTCTTTAGGGAGAATTTTTTGTTACCTGTTCGGCTGCTGTTACTTCACTGAAACAACATTCAAAGTCCTTAGCTAAAATTTCTCCTTCTTCGGCGCTCACTTGACGAAGATGAACCATGTCAGCTTTATTTCCAACCAAAGCGAGAGGCATCGTAGCTTCCGGATCAGCCACAGCTAAAGCTTCTTTGGCCTTTCTCACAAAATTAAAAGAGCCTCTGTCAGTTATTGAGTAAACCAATAGTAGTCCATCAGCCCATTGTAAAGTATCAATTGTCGGTAGTTCTTCCTCGCTCTGCTGAAATCATCGGCAGTTTGTTAATTTTTTTGTCTCCTCGATAAAATATTTTCCACAGAAATTTATTTTTTTACCTTAGGACACGTGTCCAATATTTCGAATAGAATTGGCTCTCCATCGACTAAAACTTCGTGTTTGTATCTGTTTTCTACAAAAGGGAAAAATATTTTAGCTTCAATATCGACTTCCAATTGACTATTCATTATTAATCAACTCAATATTGACCTCTAATTAACTATTTGTTATTAATCAATTCAATATTGATTTCTAGTTAACTATTAATTATTAATAAATTCAACAGAATTGACTTCTAATTAATTAAATTACAAAATAAATTCTATAAAATAAAACAATTCATTAAAATTAATTAGAAGTTGGAATTAATCGGAATTATTTAGAAGTGGATAATTTATTGAAAACCTAGAAATTAATTCACTGAATTGATAATTAATAATTAATTAATTATCCAATTATTTGAAAAATTTTTTCTCAGTTTGAAAAATAAGAGATGCGAATCGATCTCAAATTGTAAAATTTAGTGTCAAATTTTCTCGTCGCGGATAAATATAGATTTAGAGACGAGACATGCGAAGGGGACTCGTGTTGAATGCTTCAGACAGTTGTTGGCAATTTTTCAAAAAAAAAGAAAAGAAATCCATGTGTTGTGGTTTTGCTGCCATGGCCGAACATTTCTCGATTTAACAAAGATTCTAAAGTAACGTTCTTACTCACCCGACTGATGATCGTATTCCCCAATGTATCGCCTCGTTAAAAATCTCACGGTCAGGGCTGAAATTTCACAATTATTTTTGAAAAATTATTAAATTTAAATTCAAAGAGAGAAAATAAATATCTCAGTTTTGAAAATTAGTTAATATTTAAATAAATTAATTAATAGTAACAATACAGAAGAAAAGAAATTAAAATCTTTTCTTTCTGTATATTTATTAAAATTTATCGAACAAAATTTCCAAGTATTGAACATTAAGAATAATTTTCAAGGAGGAAATAACACTTTATTGTGTTATTAAATTGAAACAAAATTCCAATAAATAATGTCGGAGAAAATTTTTTCTTCTCCAGTTTCACTTGAGGAAATTCTTCTCGAAAATAATACTTCCTGATTCTTTTATCGGCTGGCTTTTCAAAGTCATGTAAACATTTGTCAAAAATTGTCTAGATGAATTCAAATGATTTAGATTTATGAGCTTGCCACTTTTTATCAGATCTTCGGAAGCAAAAGTGAGATGTGTTTGTGGGAATTTGATCAAGTGCCAAGTTTAATTCTCCTCGTGATTTTCGTTTACTATAATATATACGGAATCGTATAATAGTCCATTTGTATAAAGATTCTAAACACTAAAGAGATCATTAGGTTCGCTCATTGAATGATTGATTTCAAATCAAATTTTCTATTTTGTTGCATAACATATTTCTGATGTAAAACATTTCTGATACAAAATATTTTTGATATAAAATATTTTCTATATTAAACGTTTTCTATGTATAAAATATTTTCCATGCACTGAGAAAACTGGAGAGTCAAATTCAGAGGTTCAAAAAGTGTATGTTTCCTTTGCTTATCAAGAGAGTTAAATAGTCCTTCTAAAATAAATTTTGAATTGGTAATGGAAATCTACTTGTATATTCTCTCCCATTATATCTGAGGGTTAAAAGTTGCGCAGAAAATGTGTACGATCTGATGCGCGCGAAATTATTTTTCTGACATTTTATGTATTTAATTTAGGGGTTAGGTTGCCATATTTATTCATTTCGCGCCGGATAAGGAAGGGATTTCTCAAGATGGTTAATTTGTCCCTCTGTTAGAGAAATGGCACGAATATCTGTCAATGGTGTATTTGAACATTTAGATTGTTATCCAATAGCTAACTCTCAAATATCAACGATTTGTCCCTCCAGATGTTTAGTCGAATACTCCAGTTTTCTCAGTGTGTAAAATATTTTCGTTGTAAAAAATTTTTTAATAGAAAACATTTTTGTACACTGAGAGACCTTTTGGACTGCAGCGGAACAACGTATGAGATAGCAGCTCCACTATGGTTTTAGTGCGCTGCGATACAATTTTGGGCGCGTGACAGTCCAAAATGTTGGTTAGAAGCTCACTGAAGTAGTGGGGATGCCGTCATTGGTTTGCAGCTAATCAACTTTTGGACTGTCACGCGCCCAAAATTGTACCGCAGAAACCCAAAAGTGTAGTCCTGTAGCGTTCCACCGAAATGGTCAGTAGCAGCCTATCGAAAGTCTGCTGCTGACCCAAAGGTCTCTCAGTGTAACTAAATATTTTCGGTACAAAATATTTTAGATACGATTTCTAATTTAAATTATATTCGGTACAAAGTATTTTCGATATAAATATTTTTGAATTTGAATATTTTCGATACTAATTATTTTTTATATAAAATATTTTTGGTTTGAAATATTGTCGATACACAATATTTTTGATGTAGGTACAAAATATTTTTCATTTAAGGGCATTTGAACCTTGATGACGTCACACATGCTTTGCACAAAGTGTAACGTCATCAAGGTTCAAATGCCCTTAAAATATTTAATTTTCGATACAAAATATTGTCGATATAAAAAATATTTTCCATTTAAAAAAATAATAATTTGGAGCAAAAATAAATTTGAATTGAATTTTGTTAACAGTGATTTTGTTTCATTTGTTTTCGCTGTTTGAGGAAGGGGGAAGTTTTGCAAACTCTATTAGCTTCTCAATATATCTATCGTTTTTGGAACAATGGGGAGTGTGAAAACTCTTCAATGGAGAATCGAGTCATGAAATCGAAACGAGAGTTGCAGCCTAGTGACCTGCTTTGAGGTGCACCACACTATTTTTACTTCAAATCTACCAGTATAGTGTACCATAGAACCTTGTGCTGAAACTCCGTTATAGTTGTCTATAATAATGTCGCCTACTCAGAGTCGAAAGTCGACTTCCGCTTTTTCTCTCTCTTTTTACGATTTTATTGAATTGTCTTTTTCAATAAACAATCAACGACTTCCAATAATGTCTCAATGTAATTTTTGAAGAAAGGGGAATTACTGAATAGTCGACAGAACTGATAATCTATTTTTGCTTTTTCGTTTTCGAAATCTAAATGGGGATATTTATTTTATATTTAGTATTTTTTGATAAAGAAATATATTTTTGGGGAAAGGAATATTTTTTGAAATGAAATAATTATATTTTTGTCAAAAAGAATATTTTTTAAAAAGAAATATATTTTTGGGGAGAAGAATAATTTTTCAAAAATTTCGATATAATTTTTTTTAAGACTTTTTTCGAGAAAGACAAAAATGGAAGTAGTTGATCAAACGTTTTGACGTTGGAATGATGGAATGTTGCTAAAAATATTTCATATCTAGTTCACGAATAAGTGGAAGGCGATGTATAGGTATTTCGTTTGGCAGAAGTATGTTGTTTCTCTATAAAAGCTAGACATGCTTTTAACGATCTAGCGAAGCAGAAATTCCTTTAATATATTCACACCAACGGAAATGATTATGCGCTCATAAAATATCTTGGAAATTGTTCAAGACTTATGCTAACAACATAAGTTCAAATTTAGCAAAATCAACACTATTAAAATTAATATTTTCCGCAAAGTCCCCCCTCGAAAGAAAAAGAAAAAAAATTCCAAGTATAATATTTCTGTATAGAGAATCAATGATTTGATGAAAGAAATAAATTCTATTTCTTCTCTCTACTTCTGGTGAAATTTGACAATTTCTTCGATATTTTAAAACAAATTTTATGGGATCTAGAGAAATAATATTTATATTTTCTTCTCATTCACAGTTGGCAAAGGTCTTTATTCGTTTTCTACTTCCGTTTCCCTTTTCTAAATGTGTTGAAAAAGTTTTTTTTCGCACTAAAGTTTTTTTTTTGGAAAACAAAAATCTTTTTTTAGTTTTCTCAATCCAATAATGTGAAAACTACTGTTAAAAATAAAATTAATTTTATTTCATAATAGTAAAAAATTAATAAATTAATTTAATTAGTTTTTATATATTTTAATTAAATATTTAAAAATTAAAATTTAATTTTTATAATTTTTAATTTTGAAATTTTGGGAGTAAAAAATTTGATTCATAATTTTATTGAATTAAAATCAGTTTAATTACTCATGCGGGAAATAATAAAAGTTTGTTTCTGATTATTAAAGTGTAATTTTCTCTTAAAGAGAATTTGATTTGCTTAGGTATTATTTTCGGAAGCAAAATGAAGCTCTTACCACTTTTTCCGACTCCTGGGGCTCCAATTACAGCCACTTTGACCTCGCATAACGAACTCTTCTTCCTTCGAATGCCCCTAATCGCATTGGACGTCATGTTACAGGCATTTGTGTCGGCTGAAAATTTTAATTCTTCTCAAAATTTTCTATTCATTTGAAATTACATTTTCTTCATTAAATTGCTATAGATATTTATCAAATATTGACAATAATTAATAATTAATATTGATTACTATCGAAAATTTGATTTATATTGTCAAATTATAGAAATTAAATTACAATTACGAAATATTAGAGAATTATTAATTTATTTACTCCGTTATCATTTAATTAATTAAAACAATTGTCGACAAGGAAAAAATATTTTAAAAATATTATAGTTTTTGTTTTTTATAGTACAAAATCATTCGATAATAAAATAGAAAAAAGACAAAATTATGATTGCAATTTTCTGGTATTTACTGAATAAATATAAGTCTTTTTTTGGAGATTTCTTTTTTCATCAGAAAAATTGGAAGGAGACATTGACCTCGATGGAATGTCTAAAAAGGCTTCTAAAATTCAGTGAATCCGAAGGGAAAATTCAAATCAATGTAAAAGAATGAGAGAGAATGTTTGTGTGAGTGTTTGAGAAGGAGAGAAAATAGTGTGAAATGAAGAGTTCATTAATAGAACGGATTTGCACACGTGTTCTGAAGAATCTAAAGAATTTGTTTCGTGACCCAAACGCGTTCTTCTCTGTTGATCTTTGAAGTTTACCGATTTTATATTTGTCAAGCGTTTTTCACGGTCAGCAATTTTTCAATTTCATTTTAATACGTTAATTATTTTTTTTTCGGTTTACCTCAATTACAAACATTAAAAAAAATAAATCTTAACTCACGAAAAAAACTGACAAAAATTCGTAACGAAATTATAAAGAAATTACTAAATTATTATTTTATTAACAAATTTTATTAATTATTTTTCATAATAATTAATTATCTTAATTTATTTATTTAACATAAGTGAACATGATGAGAAAGTACAAAAAAGTTATAATTGATTACAGTTCATGATAAATTTTATAATTAATTATAATTAATATTGTCCATAAAGTACTAATTAAATTAAAAAAACCGCTGCCAAGTTGTATATTTTTTTATAATTTTGGTGCTCATTTCATGAACACTTTACTTCCTCATGGAGATAAAAATAATAGAAATATATGAATAACTTTTTATAAATATGGTAAAAGTGATTAAATTTTGAGCCAATCAATGTATTTTTAAATACCCTACAAGATAGTTACAATAATTTAATAGTTAAATCAAAATTTTCAAACAAAAAAGTTGAGAAAATGTAATTTTTCACAATTTTTGGTTTTTAAAATACCAATAATTTCGAAATTTATTATCGAATTAGGTTTAAAAATAGGTCAATCGAAGCGTTTTTTAATGCTCTACAAGTTGATAACGATAATTTTAAAGTTACTTCTACTTTTTTCAACAAAATTTTCAAAAAAGTCTTATTTTCCAAAATTTTTTATTTTTAAAAGTTTAATAACTCCGGTTAATATGGACAAAAAATGTTCAATTAGGGCTCAAAAGATGCGTCTAAAAAAACTCTACAAAATTGTGAAAAAACATTTATAGGTGTCCTAACATTTTTTTAAAGTTATGGGCAAGAAACGTTTTTTTGCAAAATTAAAAATAAAAAAAAAATTTAGTTAAACTTTATTAATATATCAGAAAGTACTCTCACTTTATGTCCGCAGGTGAGATCTACAATTTAAAAAAAAATTCAACCCAAAAGCTCTTCATGATTTCGAGATATTTATGAAAATGTGATGTTTACACACACACACACACATACGGAATGACATTTTTTTAAAATGTCATTTTTGAACTCCTGAGGTCAAATAACATAAAGATATGTCAAAAAATCGAACTCGAAAAATTTTGGTATTACAATACTTCCTCTATGAGGAAGTAATAAAATTAATAAAATATTTAATATTAATTAATTGAAATTAATTTAGTTTAACTAATTTCAGTTAAATTTAATTAAGCTACATTGTGATTTAATTAATTAATAATTTCATTTAATTTAATAATAATATATTAAATAATTAATTAATAATTAGTAAATAATAATAAATAAATCATAATACTTCAAAAAAATTAAAAATAAATGAGTAAATAAATTAAAAAACGTAGATACTTTTAAAAAATTAATAAATTTAATTAAAAATTGCTGATTATAATGATTGTAATTATATAATATCAAATTTTTCATTATTGAAATACTCACCTCTAACATTAAATTAAAAAATAAATATTTTTGCCTAATTGCTCGTTATTTAAGGGCACTTCAATTATGAGGTAGTAGAAAAAATATATTTGTCATTTTTTCCTTTTGTTCAAATTGACTTCTAAGTGAGAAAAAACCACAACTGTTTCTTCACTTCATTTTCACGTCGTATTGATTGCTTCTTAAATTTTCTCCTTTTTGATAATTGATAATTTATTATCAAATAATCTTATTCTTTGTATAATTTATAAATTATTTCTATTTAATTTCATTTATTATTTTTATTTATCTTTCTTTATTATTTTTTTATCTTTATTTATTACTTTTATTTATCTTTATTTATTATTTTTATTTATCTTTAATTATTATTTTTTTATTATTTTCATTTGTCATTATTTAATATTTATTTTATTTTTATTTATAATTTAATTTTTTACAATTTATTTTAAATTATTTTTTAACACACGTGTATTTTGATAATCGTATTAGAGTAACATTTCGAGAACCGTTGTGGTTCTTGGCTCGTGAGCGACTGACTCCACACAACATTGAAACCGTCAAGAATTATTTTTCAACTTCAACTATCAGAGATGATTTCTGATTTTAATTTATATGCTCAATATTCATTTCTTAGATACTAAATTTTTCCATACAATTTTAACGTTTAGATTAAGACACATAAATTTCACAATCAAATAAATCCTCCCTAGGATTCTAAGGAAGCGTTCGGAATTATTTTTATACCCAATATTTCTTATTTTTATAGCGTATTTTAAAATAATATTTTTAAGTATTTTATTGCATATAGAATGAAAAATTAGTTGAAAATAATTAAACATAAAATTAGTGAATTCATTATGTAATTAGTTATTTTGTTATTTAATTAATTAGTTAATACATGAATTAGTTAATTTCTTATACATAATTCAATTAACTAATTCATTAATCAGTTCTATGAATTAATTACACAGGCACAAAAAAAAAAAAGTGTCGTGGCCGAGACACTACAGTAGTATATTCCCATGTATTTTTGGCCGCTGAATCCGAATCTGAAGTCCGAATGCTCAAATTGGTTCTTTTTTTTTAGTTATACTCAAAAAACGACTCAAAACACGAATTTGAACCAAAAAAAATAAAAATTTTTTTTGTGACATGACAATAGCATATTTCCATGTATTTTTTCCCGCTGAATCCGGATTCGAAGTCAGAATTGACAGATGTGCTCAAAATTATGAGCTAAACTCAAAAAACGACTCAAAAAACCGAATTAAAATGACGAAAATGAAAAATTTTTTCTGTGACATTGCAAAAGTATATTCCTATGTATTGTTTCATGCTGAATCCGAATTCGAAGTCAAAATTGACAGATTTGCTCAAAATTTTGAGATAAACTCAAAAAACCACTCAAAAAAAGACTCAAAAAACCGAATTAAGATGAAAAAAATTTTTATGACACTACACTACTATATTCCCATGTACTTTTTCCCGCTGAATCCGAATTCGCAGTCAGAATTGACAGATTTTCTCAAAATTTTGAGATAAGCTCAAAGAACTGATAAAAAAAGCGATTTAAAATAAAGAAATGGAAATTTTTTGCTATGACACTACATTACAGTATTTCCATATCGGATCTCGCATTTAAAGTCAGAATTGACAGATTTATGACTGATTTGCTCAAAATTTTGAGATATACTCAAAAAACTGATAAAAATGTAATTTAATATGAATAAAGGAAATTTTTTGCTATGACACTACACTAGTGTATTCCCATGTTTTTTTTCACTGTGATTCCAAAGTCAGAATTTTCAAAGTGGCTCAAAATTTTGGATTTCATTAAAAGTGCTCAAAAACATGCATGCTTGTACCTGTAACCAGGGTTTGAGTTCTAAAAAATTTTATGTCATTCTGATAATTCTAACTTCGAATTTGTATTCAGCGTATATAAAATTCATGAGAATACACTACCGAATACCAAAAAAATGAACTCTTTTGCATTAAATTAAATTTTGAGCATTTTTGGATTTAACTTAAAATTTTGAGCCAATTTAATAATTTTAACTTTGAATTTAGAAGCAGATGTAAAAACATGAGAATATACTAATGTAGTGTACTAGCAAGAAAAGTAGAGTTTCTTGACTTTAATTTTTGTAACTTAACAGATTTTCTTGTGTGTCTCAAAATTTTGAGCCATTAGAATAATTCTGACTTCAAATGCGAGATCCGAGTGTAAAAATATATGGAAATACTGTAATGTAGTGTCCTGGCAAAAAATTGCCATTTCTTTATTTTAAATCGCTTTTTTAATCAGTTCTTTGAGCTTATCTCAAAATTTTGAACAAATCTGTCAATTCTGACTGCGAATTCGGATTCAGCGGGAAAAAGTACATGGGAATATAGTAGTGTAGTGTCATAAAAAATTTTTTCATCTTAATTCGGATTTTTGAGTCTTTTTTTGAGTGGTTTTTTGAGTTTATCTCAAAATTTTGAGCAAATCTTTCAATTTTTACTTCGAATTCGGTTTCAGCATGAAAAAATACATAGAAATATACTTTTGCAGTGTCACAGAAAAAATTTTTCATTTTCGTCATTTTAATTCTGTTTTTTGAGTCGTTTTTTGAGTTTAGCTCAAAATTTTGAGCACATCTGTCAATTCTGACTTAGAATCCGGATTTAGCGGGAAAAAATACATGGAAATATGCTATTGTCATGTCTAACAAAAAAAATTTTTAATTTTTTTAGTTCAAATTCGTGTTTTGAGTCGTTTTTTGAGTATAACTAAAAAAAAGAACCAATTTGAGCATTCGGACTTCAGATTCGGATTCAGC